TATATATATATATATATATATATATATAGTTATAGGTAATATATATAGTTATAGTTATAGTTATAGTTATAGTTATAGTTATAGTTATAGTTATAGTTATATAGTTATATAGTCTGTCCGTTTTGTATCCCCCAGACAAATCATTTCCTCTTCTGTCTGGCCCCAGCACTGCTGTCGCCATACTATTTTACTCACTGAACAACCCTTGTTAGTTGGGGGACGAGTAAACAACGATGTACAAGTCAGCGGCAGGATAAAACAATAAGCAGCAGCATTGCTCTGATCGTTCATCGGGCACTGCCTTCAACATAGCTGGTAAGGGTTGATTGCACAGCAGTTGGGTTAACCCCCCACAACCAAAAGACCCATGTGCTGCTTGACAACCCTAGCCAGCAATTATTCCACCTTTCCCACTCGTATTAAATAACCATAGCGATACTTGTTTGCCAAGAACTGCAAAAACAGCGTCTCTAAATTCATAAAATTTGGCAGATGCCTCTAAGCTCCAAAATTTAGTTCGTACAGGCCATGTTGGCCTGTGCATCATTCAAAAAAGAAATCGTGGTTCAGCTTCCCTCTTTCCTGCGTTAAGGGCTTAAATGTATCCTTAATGGTTGGACAACCGAACTGGGCTTGACTGCCGCGGTGAAGGATGAATGCCCACATATGGAACTGTCAGGCCAGAAGCACATTAATCCGCAGGTGTGTTTCCTGTGGATTACCGTGCTTGTAGCATGACAGTATAAAAGGGGGGAGGTGTATTTCCTGCGTATTTGGACCAAAAATGTGTACTTGACGGATTTCTGAATAAACTGGGCGAAAAGGTTGCAACTCTATTGCTCCTTCCTTTTGGTGCGGGGGAGCATTCTGTATTCTTTGCCTCCCGCCTCAAATGTGGGCAAACTAGCACTCGCCCGCCGACTGTGCTGTTTCCGAAGGCCAAGTTGCGGAGGCCCTTGGTAAGCAGCATTCTCCTGCGCCCTCTGTTCGGCCACTTCTGGAGCGTTCGTCTTCGGGCGTGGGCCCGGATCCTCAGCGAAGAAACTTGAAACAGCTGAAGCCATTGCAGCTGGAGAGGGTGAAGGGGAAGGCAAGGCTTGCTTGTTTTCTTCTTGCAATTTCGAATAATCTAGCTTACGCGGTGGGGAACGCTTCTGAGGATGTGGTATGCTCACCATGGGTAGTCTCTCTGCTGGAGGTTCGGGGAATGGCTTGACCACAACAATATCTCCTCCCTTTTCTCGCAGTTCAAATGTTCCCTGGTGAGCTCCTCCAAATCGCTGTCTCAAAACATCCCAGTCCTCGTCGTCTGTATCGCTATCATCATGTTTTGGAGGGCCCAGAGTCTGCGATACTTCGCCATCAGTAGGCACGACTGCCTTCCACGGCGGGTCCCCTGGCAGCCGGTACACAGTCTGCGGGGGCGGAGCCGATGGGGAAGTAGACAGACCAGCCACGCCCATCCGCGGAGTAAACGCCTTTGGTGTCGTTGGAGCCGGGCTCTTCACGGCTGACAGCTCATCCTTGATCTCCTTCTTTCGAGTCGCCTGCAGTCTCTGAGGCGGAGAGTCCTCTCTGAGGTTCTGCAGCTCCTCAATGCGGCTCTTCCGATCAGGGTCTTCCCAACGCGTCGAATGTAAGAGCTCCTCCGGTATGTAAGCTTTTGGATCAACTGCAATGAAAGAAAAGAAGTAGCAGACAACCACTGGTCTCGAGGTTGAGGCACGCGATGGAGTCACAACGGATCCACAAAGTGCAGTCTCCTAAACAGCCCATACGAACTCTGAGCAGCGTCGGCAACGCTGTGCACTTTGGGCTGCCCTTACCAACTGCCCGTCGAGCAGCCTGGAGCCCCACATCCATTCCAAGGTCAAACAGCTGTTGCTGCTCCATTTGCTGCCTTGCGTGCATTGGGTCTTGTTGTTGGTAGCACGAAATGAACGCCTTCCTTGCCTGCACCTCCTCGATTTGATCGTTCACATGCTGTATGGCAGCTTCAACACCAGCAACGTATTTCCCCTGTCGCCGAGTGACCTGGCGGAGCACCCGCATCTGTTCAGCTGCAATACAAACAAAGCCCACCACAAGAAGGAGCTAACATAAGCAGCATTGAACTACCTACAGTTCTTGCGACGAGTAGCTCTACTCGGCATGCTAAAACAATGGAGATGAACAACTCCATATAATGAGGCCCACCAATGACACCGAGGTCATGTAGGATCAAATAGTGTTTAGCACGCAGGAACTCAATGTCAGTCAAGCACTGCTGCAGCCGAACAATCTGAGTGGAAAGAAGAGCCTTGCTGATGTACTCCTGTAGCAGCAACCACAATAGCAGCAGCAAAAGCAGGCTTGCTTCTAATTCGCATTCCCAACCTTGACAGAAGCGTGAAATCCTGAAGCACTTTGCTTGTCTGTCACGCAGTGATCTGCTGCATATGCCCGAGGTGTGCCACCAAACATCACTTGCCTGAGTACTCCTTGGCTCCCTGACAAGAAGTGGTAGCTCCTTTAGGGCCATGAAGAACTCATCCTTGAGGTTCACAAATCCCGAGTTCACCATCTGCTCCCCATCAGTGTTTACCCCCCACGACTGCAATGAAAGGCACTTGACGAATGCCTGAAAATGTCAGGGACTCACAAGATTTGCGATGGACTGCACAGCATGTATGCCAAACGATGCGTGAAGGACTTCTGCACCCCAGATCCTAGCGTATTCCCCCTAAGACCCAAGACAAACCTTGAAGTAAAGGATAACTGTGTCGTTCACCATCAGAGGCACGCGCTTGCGTTGCACTACTCCGTACTTGGCCTCTAGTGCACTCTGCATCTCAGCCGCCTCTTCGGCCTTTAAGGACTCATACCTGAAAACGCATTTGCTGCAGTGCTCACTCTTCAAAGCTACGAACCACCAGATGCAAGTATGTCAACCTTAGCTTCTGCCTCCACCACTGTGAGTGGCAGCAGCAACAAACAAATTCATTTATGTGGACTACAGATGAACAAGGGACAGGATCGTTTTTTGTAGGCGGCTTCCTTGAATTTCGAAGGCGGGCCTACTAACCAATCGAGCCAATAATGCACGTGAAATGTGCACCTATGAAGGAACTCGGCACGCGGATAACACGTTTTTCTTACCGGACGTAAATCATAGAAAGGACGATATAGTTCAGGAAACCAAAGAAGAATATGCACACAACCAGAGCGAACACCTGGAAGAGCCAACCGATGCTACGGCCCTGCTGAGGAATAGTTATAATTGAGTTGAAATTCCACTTCGACTGCGTCAGCATTACGCACGAGACTACGGCATTCGCAAAGGTCGAAAAGCCGTCGTATGATCCCCCCAATACGCAGTAGCCTGCAATCAGAAAGACATCGTATCAACGCCATATGACTCTACAACGAGACCTTATATGGCCGTTTGATCTTCTGTACCCGGCCCCCGTGTAACAATCTAATGGGTAGCCCGAGTGAATTGCGCTATCGGTCCTGTCTGCCGACGCCCTTGTTGTGCAGCCCGCAACGGCTCACCAATCAACGAGAATAAGAGGAAAGTACTAAAGAGAGTGCACAAAGTACACGCAGTCTGCACCTTTGCAGCATTCAGGTGCGACAGGAGCTTGCGGAGGCCTTGCATTCTTTCGGGTATTGCGGGGACCATGGTGATAAAACGGATCATAGCGATCACAAACAGCAGCCCAGCACATATTTTGCAAAACAAAAGGTAATTTGCAAGCGTCTCGATGTGTTCCTGGAGTCTTAAGAACCGCGGTAGGGATTCAGCAGTCGGTGGCGGCTGCGACCTAGTGGGCACTGCAATAATGCCACACACCAAACTCACCAGAAATGGGCACTGGAGACCGCCACCAGAAGTTGCGCTATCGGTTGCGCTGCTGGCTGCTGCCCGTTGAATTTTCTGGGCATTCTATGGTTGTTCTCAATCTATGCATGTGCGAAAATGTCACCTCAGCGGCCCCATAGACCTGGCCAACTGAGCTACAATGGAGTGCGTTACCCAAGAACTGCTTGAACAAAGCGGCAGAGGGAGATAGTGCCCCTCATTGACTTACTGCTAGCGCTGCCGGGAAGCCAGTGCCAGGGCTGGACTGGCCCTGGAACAAATTTCGGGATGTGTCCCGTGCTTCCGGTTACTGTTCCGCCTGCGATCGAACTTATTTCGTCCGTCCATCCGGGATCAAACGCTACGTTGTACATGCATAACAAGAAGAAACAACAGCAGGCGAACGCGAGCGCCAGCGGTAAGTCAAGGATAATGAGGTATAGAGGATATAGGCGCCTCTTCTGCACAGCCCGATACGACAGGACGAGGTATCCTAGCAAGCACACGAGGGCCAAAGGTATGAAAATCACTTCAGGCCTCACACCCGTCTCCAGAGGGTGGACATGCCAAGCCGGAACAACCGTCACCCCCAAGGAAGTTTTTAGCCCTCCTTGATCCATTGTTATAGCGACCTGCGAAAGCACGCATATGTGTCCTTTAACTGTATTTGCGGTGTTCAACCTCTGAACTTAGCATGCTCCCCATAGGTTTTATATCGGCCCATGCAAGCAGAATATGCGCCAAGCTCAAGCTTCTGGCAGTCAATTAAGTACCACATGCGCTTGCAGTCAGAGAGGCACTAGGATACCTCAACTGACCTTGTTAAGAGCAAATATGCTCGAGTCTCCGTTGTACGTCATCCACAGGACTTGCAACTCCAGAAGTTGCCAGTCGAGGAAGTTTTGGGAGCGCAGCTCCTCTATCTTGGTTCTCATTGACGTGCTGCCTACATATATTTCTTGAAAATCCTCTGCAGTCCAGTAAACGTCGGCTTGCCTACTGCTGTAATCACTGGCGTCCGAAAGGCGTCTAGAGGGAACAGATTTAGTTGGATGGACCTGACGGGGCAAGCTGTTCCTCCCCTTGTATGTGGCCGTCTGAATTCCCGACCCCTGTTTAGAACTCGTGAAGGTCTTCGGCGCATCCGAACCGGAAAAATATACCGGCACGGTGTACACGCGCTCGGCATTGGGATGAAAATTACCGCCTCCAAACGTGCCGCTCGTCCAATTTCGAAATGCCGCCGGCTTGCGGCGGACAGGATACAAATCAGCGACTGCACAGGAAGGGCAGCACGGCTCAAATAAGATGGGCAATGGAAGGCGCTGCACAAGTAGCCCCAGGCAAAGTAAGAGCATCACTGCACGGACAGAGGATGAACAAGGCACCTCCGCAATACCAAATGACAAGAGCAGATGCGCTAGGTTATTGCATTATGGGGAGGCCTGTGGTAGGCTTGGCGGTGGCTAACTGCGACTTGAGCTCACGGCTTTCAAACGTCTGGCATTCCAAGTCGATCCTCTTGAGGAGTAAAAGAGCTCCAGGATTTGCAAGGGGAATTGCGTTCGTGGTAGAGGGGGAGTTGAAGGCTGCATTAAGTATTTGACCAGCCAACACTTGCTCCAACCAATCGTAAACCCCCGACAGGGACGTCACACTGGTGATTTGCAACAGACGCCGGACGCCCTGTAGCACGCCATGGAAGTACACAGTACACATACGAAGAAAAAAAGGTGGATTAGGTGTAACCATGCACCTCTTGCTAGGCGAGAACACAGAAACGGCAAACCAGCGGCACCCACGATGATGTCAGCGGACACGCAAAGCTTCTATGATAAATACTCACCTCGGGCTGCTTAGCAGGGAAGGCGGTAGAGGTTGTGCCACATTCCGGGCGAGATAACATCCACACAGGGGGAGTGCTCACATTAGCGTCTCGGGACATGAAGGGGTCTGTCGTACTGAAAGGCTGCAAAGCCTGTTCGACCGCTTTGGTCAATTCGCGATTTACGCGGGGTGTATCACAAAGGAAGCAAATGCCCAGGGAGAATAAGACAATAAACGGAATGAAAAACGCTGCCAACTTCCTGTACTCAATAGCCGCTGTGTCTTCTGCCTCAGACACGTTAACTTTGCATTCTTCGTTGTCCTGCTCTTCGCGCATAATTGCGGCTGCTTCGTCCTTACCAAGTCTCGCCCTCACCTGCAGTTCCTGAGGAACGCAACACATAATGTAGGGAGCATCACGATGCAAACGTGTAGTGCATACTCGCTAGCGCAACAGCACTGCGTGCTCACTCGCCGAAACATGCGTTAACTGCACATATTCAGCCTCAAATACTCAAAATGAGTAGTGCGTCCTTACATGGACTCACCACTCATGGCCTACGCGGCCTTTTTCCGGTAATCAATTTCATACCTCGTCAATTCGGCTTTCATCCTTAGGGCCTGGAGTGCAGAAAAATAAATTATTCTCCATCCATTCGCGTGTTCGATGAACTATATCAGATCCTGCAGAGAAAAACGGACCGACACAAAAAAAGCTGGGAAACTCGTTCACCCCATTTCCCCCCTAAAAAAGAACAGCTGCAAGTCTTCTACCAGCATATATGCTGTTTCTTGAAATTCCATTTGGAGAAGCAAAACACTCATCCTCCCTTGGAGCATTTTTCATGCCATTTTTGAGACTTCAGGGCCACAAGGAAGGTTTAAGGCTTGCCCAGATTCTCCCTTTCGCCTGCTCTGACTTTCTTGACGACCGCACTGAGCGACTGGATGTTGATTGCGACCACCATGGGGACAAAGACGGCCCAAACCACCAGTAACCCGATGGCGGCGACGATGAATGCGACTGGAGGCATCGACTTGATGAAAGGGGCCCCAAAACTCAAGCACACCGTGTAAAATACAGAAGATCCGAAGTTCCGAAACTGTGGGACGCGAGGGCCTGTCAAGCAGCCGAATCGCCCACCACAACACAACAAAGCAAGGGATTTTGATGGCCACAACCTTTAGAAAATGCCGAATCCCTCAGATGACACTCCAATCCCTGCTCAGTTGTTAGCAACCACCTGAGAAGGTCCAGGTAGCCTGTACATATATGCACTTTTGTTGTCACTCTGATCCTCTGCAACTGCCAACAGTAGTAGGGCTACCAGTGGTGATATATTGGAAAAAGGGTTGCCCACCCAGCAGAATGTAGTTGCAGGTTGAAGCTCCGAGGAGCAGCAAAACTGTAACCGCAATAATTCCTCCGAATTCGTTGACGAACACGGCGGTGCTCTTTTCTAGCACCAGGAAGAATATACTAGCCCCAGAGAGAGCATGCAGAAGCCGCAAGACGAAAGCCCAACCGCTGACGATATGAACGACCCCCAGCATCCCCTCCACAACTAGAAAGCCAAAACATGCACATCACAATGACTCTGAAGGTGTTCGGGGGCTGCTGCAATAACAGGATTCATGCAGCATGTGACGTCTTTGCATTTTCACTTGCTCAAAGCGATTTGCAAAGGGTGTATGGCGCTTCTTCCCATGAAACACGGCGGCAGACTTCCACATTCCCCACCTTCGAGAGCTTCCACTAAGGAGGAGCTAAAATCCGACTTGGTTATGATATGGCTCAGAATGCAGCAGGACAAAAAGAGCGTTCCCCCCAACAAACTCATTAGGGCTATAAACGTGCAAGGCCAGCGCTCTTCCAAATAGCGGTGAAGTGGGCTCCGATCATCTTCAAATCTGTACAAGCTAGAGAACAGTATAATGCATCAACTTTAATGGCAAACAGCCATATAGTACATAATACGGTACATACTTGCTGCGCAAGCATTGCTTGCTCTGCCTAAACGGTAATGTCTGCGTCTTACAATGCTGTTTGTTCACCTGACCCACGCACGCAGGACCCTATTCCTCCTGGCACGTATGACTGAGTTGGATCAGTAGACTAGTTCGGTTAAGCATGCAGTTGGTTCTTTCTAAGTGGGAATAGGGTGAGAGTAGGTCAGGGCAGCGGCTCATAAGGCCAGATTGAGCGAGGGCGTGTAGAACAAACAGATGGACACACCGTCGAGTTTTCCTGATAAGCTTGAAGGCGAGCCATTCCACGATGCAGTAGCATATGGCCGCCACCAGAAAGAGGAGAGAAAAAGCAAAGGCAAACGCTCTTCCCGAGACAAGAACCGACACAACTTTCACTTCTGCCGTCACTAGACCTGACGCGTTTTGCTTGAAGTAGACTTTCGCAGCTGCAGACACAACAAAAGTGTCTTTCAAAGGCTCGCACTGTACGCCTGATGAAGCCTACTGCGACACGCATTAAAAATGTGGGAAGTGTCATTTAGGCCTTATCACTTTAAGCCTAAATACCCCGGCAGTTCAACAGCCCCCCTCTTCTACACGCACAGCATTCGTTGCCGTTGCCGTCTCGTCCGCGTATTGTCAGCGTTGCCGCCGTCGTAAGCGGGCCCCACCAGCCTTCATTACCGAGGGCTTCGATGACACTTGTGGCATCCACTGCATATGTCCCTCCCAACATTTGTCCAAAGTCAATCGTCTTCTCCTCAGCAGCTGCTCAGCCACCACAACGACACGAACTCGAACCGGTAGAATCTAAATTCAGTAGGCCGTTCACAACGCTTTCCGCCCCTGCCTTCCCCCAAACGTGCTGTCCCGTGAAGCATGTGTTACTTTTCAGGTGTTCGCTAGCCTCTCCATTAAGCGGCCACTGCTTGTCCGTTTTCATCCTCACCGTCAAAGTTGAGCCTCTTGTACACAACTTTCGCCGTGTTGGAGTTTTCGTTTTCTGCAAGACTGCCTTTGACCAGATGGAGTGTAGCGAGCTGCACTACTAAGGCCCCCCCCAAGCTACCAGTAAAGAGAGTGGGTGCCAGTACTTTAAGAAGCCAGGCCTCCACATCTGCCCAGGTGGTGATTGCACCTGCGGCAATTGTGAAGCCAGTTGTTTCTGGGCGGACGGATGCGCTGATGCGAATATTACGCAGCTCTATGGCTCGTGAAAAGCTCGACACGCTTCGCCAGCCTCCGGTGTACGAGCTGAGGAAAAAGCTTTCCCCTTCTTTGAACGGCGTACTGGTCAGATGCGTCCTCACAGTCGAAGTCAGCTCATGGCGCAAAGGAACGGCATAGTAGAAAATTCCGGCAGCTATTGAACTCCCTCCTATAAGAAGAAGAAGCAGTAACCAGTTCAGAAACGAGTGGTTGCGCTCAAACGGCAAGTTCGTGTTCTCGGATAGCCCGACCTGCACATAGCCGCTTGACGGAGTCGTTCCCTCGCTGCATTCTGAAGAAGCCCCACGGGAACCGGAAGACGCCGAGCGCACTGAGGCCACCATTGTGAGTGGAGATCCGTCCAAGCTGTCCTACGGCCCTTCGTCTTGGTCTTTGAAAGGCCTCATGGAATATTTAAAGAGTGGATACAGAAGCGCACTTGGCGGCATAGCATGATATGAACCAAGTAACAGGGCAACGCTTCTTAAGATAGTCTCATGAACCCTTTGTAAAAACATCAGAAGACGCAGGCCTTACAGCTTGCCAAAGCGCATGCACGTGAGGCACCTCCGACGAGTGTCTGGTAAAAATGGTCAGAAAGGTGCACCTGACAGTCGGGGGAAGAGCGTACAGCCAATGGAAAGCAGGATAAAAGAGCAAGAGATCAATTGATGACATGATAAGGTCAAAAACAGAAAAGACAAATTGGGCGGTGACGAACCGCTGCTGTGGCTGTTCACGCCACCCATGAGCAACTGCAACAATGTCTGAGGTGACGGCTGTGCACACCCGCATCAGAAAAGCAGCCATAGCACAACCGAAATGGTAACATTAGGAAGTATATTCTGCAGAAACCGATTCACTTAGGCTTTATTAGATTCAAACTAGATGAATACCTGTAGATATACTTGTGAGGCCGTACGCCGCAGAACTGGGGCCAGGCACCCACCCTCGCGGACATTGATAGTTAACCCTATGCGAATAAATAGACGGTCAGAAATTATTTCGGTTGAAACATAATAATTCAATTATTCTGCATTATGAGAAGACGCGCTGTCGAGGTCTTAAGGAGAAATTCACAGACAGCGGTCAGGCGCCCACTGTTGCTGTGCTCAACGGCCACCGCTTGAGGACCGCTGGGCGGCCGGCTCACCGAAGACTGGCAAGCGAATTGAATGCAGTGGGTGTCACCAGTGTTCGTTTTAAGTCTATTTTGAGTATTGTTTTGCCATATTAAGAAGGTTTTTAAAGATTGAACTTGTGTTGCTTTTCATACACTAGCGAAGAACAGCAAAACCTTCGAGCTTGCCACGATCTTCAGCGAGACAACCGCCAAGGCTCACTTCGGTTAAGCCAGCGGAAGGAGCTGTCTGTTTGAAGTCCGCTTTCGTTACTTCTTCTTAATACTTGCTTTTTAAAAGACTCTTCATCTCACACATTCTATAAATGTATCTTTCCGCCCCATTATTTACTTGGTAAATAGCGGCCATCTCGAGGGTGTCGCCTGCGGCGAGTCACCTGACAGTAGAGAGGCTTTAACCTATCTGCACACTTCAGCAGTGGTTTGTTATCAACCTGTATATTTTTCTTTATTCGCCTTTTCAGCGCAAACACAGCGATTAAGGGGGCATAAGCCCCCACCAGGCCTTATCGAAGGTGGGCATTGTCAACTCAATTCTCATCTGCAAGCCAACCCGCAAGGGACTACAAAGTTTGATCTTCTTCCTCGCCTTTTCCAAACAGTAACTCAATGAACATGGAGACTAACTCCTTTTTGGCCATGAGACCTGGGCCCTTCCGGAGCTGTTCAGGAGACCGTGAAAGCGCAGTTGACTCTGTGGACTCACCCATCGTCCGCTGGGAGATGCTCCCGGCGCACATTTGGAACAGGAGTCGAATGATAAACAGAAATGGCCAGAGTTCCTGTCAGACAGAGCCCCTTCGAGGAATCCGCGCCCATGCCACCATGCGCAGTCACATCCCTGTTTCTCCGAGAAACAACGCCGATGCAGCGCCACCGGCTACAGCAGAATCAACACGAACGACAGCAGCAGAAGTAGGCGTAGCTCTCAGAGAAAGCAATCAAGGCATGGAGAATGGCATTCTTGAATCAGGAGGGGCGACGCCAGACTTTCCTTCCAGCGAAGTCATAGGCTCTGAGCTTGAGGGAGACGGCAGCGACAGCATTACCAGTAGCTGCGATGGAACAGAGGCAGATTTTGAAAGTATTGAAGGTGGCGAAGTGAACTGTTTTTCTCCATTTCAAGAGGGTGGAGATTGGGTGCTGGAAGGCGCCTCCCCGCGTACTGGTAACTGTGACGGTGCGGCGTGTATACGCTGCGCAGGTGCAAGTGTCGAGGCCGAGTTGTTCTTTGGGGCAGATGTGATAGACTTGGGAGCGAACCAAGGGATATGCTGCTCCTCTGACAGCGAAAGCGACGATAGCAGGGATAGCGCCTGCAGCACTCAGAGCGAAGGCGATGCGGTTGAAGGGGCGACGAAAGCGGAAGCAGAAACCAAAGAGCCGGAAGGAGGTGCGGAGGATAGAGGGACGACAGTGGAGAGCGAGGAGCACAAGCAGCAGCTACAGGGAGCGGTGGACGACATGTGGCACCCCGTGTGCCCTGTGCACGGATTAGACGGTATCGGAGCCTTCCGGCTTAAGGTAGATTTAGAGAGCAGCGACGCAGACGGCTGGACTGATGTAGGAGGCGGGCAGTTCCCGTCGGGGGAAACAGAAGCCTGTACTTGCTTAAACGAGCCTTTCTGGCAGGGAGGCCAGCAACTACAGCAGCCAAGTCAGCTACAGGCCAAGTCTACAGAGCAGCATACAAAATCTAAAACTGATGATGCGCTCACAGGGGACACCGGACTTGTGCTGCCTGACAGGGGAATTCTTCCAACAGGGAGTGCTGGGCCGACTGCATCAAGGGAAGAAATCGTCGAGGCACAGCCGGTTAGCAGCAACAGTTGCAGCAGCAGCAACAGCTATGGAAACAGAAGCTACAGCGTGTCTGTAACCCCTGAGGCGTCCGAAGGCTCTCTCTCGCCCGCCAATACCCAAGGGAAGGCAGACATTCCCGTTGGTGGGCGGCTGCAGGACATCATGGCCAGCCTTGAAGCGCAGCAGTGGCGGTACACGCGCCCTCACGCACTCGCCGCCACTGCTGCGCTTCGAAGCGCCAGTCTTGAAGCAGCAGTGGACAATACATCGGGGCAACGCCGATATTATTGGGAAAACACAAAAACAAAAGGACAACTCAGAGGAAGTCTAGGCTAATTGATAAAGTGCGCAGCAATCAGCCGACATCTAACTCATAATGAGTGCTTACATCCAGTACGTGTAGTGCCCAGTGAACTCACTCCCGATGTAACGAAGTGTGTAGTCACGTAATATATGCGTGTTTGATAATAATTGCCCTCTTTTCAGTGTAAACATCAGTCGGGGTCAGGGCCATTGGCAATTTGGCTGGGGACCCGTTGCGCCATTCATCTATTTATCAATGTGGCTTGCCCAAAGGCGTCCAGTTACGCAAAGCACCGCCGCCCTGCCTGCAAGGAGGGGCAAAAGCTATGCATGGGAGTTTACGTTCATATGTATCTGTGTAGACATTACGCATGTGTGGAAGTCATCAGTATAAACACACAAATGCATGCGTTCGCGTGCATGTTGCATGCTTGCTTGCTATTCACATACGCATAAATTATTTGCGGAAACGCATGTCTAAGTTTAGACAAACACGTGCCAATGGATTACTATACCCCATCCCGACGCCATCATTATATATATATATATATATATATATATA